GCTAAAGGTGCTAAACCATTCATGAAGAATTCACCCTCAAGATCCCATCACCTCCCACCAGGCCCCACCTCCAGCATTGGGGATTACAATTGAACATGAGATTTGGGCGGGGACACAGATCTAAACCATATTAATAGTTACGTCCTCTGTGCTCTGCCTATAGGCCAATTTTAGAAGCTAAAGAACAATAAGCAAATACACGATTATGACTGTGCAGCTGTTGCTCCCTGAAGAGCAAAGTGTTGGGCTGGAATTTCATTTTCTTCACTGTGATTCTCATATAGCCCTTGTGTCATTTAGGAGAGAAAGTTCCCATACCATGGTCAAATGGGAGAATTTTTCTAACATTTTATTAGTTGTTTAAAATCATGTCACATTTTGGTTTGCTTCATATTTAGACCTTAACTTTAATTTTTAAATTAAATTTTTATTTTTTAATTTATTTTTTAACTTTTAATTAAAAATTTTAAAATTGACACATAATGGCACATATTTTTGGGATATGTAGTGATACATATAATATATAGTGATCAGATCAGAGTAATTAGCATATCATCTCAAACATTTACCATTTCTTTGTATAGGAGACATTCAATATCCCCCTTCTAGCTACCTGTAATCCTTAACTTCCTTGTTCACTTCTCCTGGAGTTTCAATAACTCTTTTAGCAGCCAAAATGATTTATTAATTGAAAATAAATAAGCATAGACATCGTTCTTTTCATGTAGATATATATGGTCACAACTACCTTGCCTCTTGCCTACACAAAGGTTTTGTCATTAACATTTCTTCTAAGAGCATTGAGTATTTTGCTAGCAAATTTTGCTTCCTTCTCAGAGTAAGTTCTCTGGCCCCACATCAGGACAGCACTCTGTAAAATGTGGACCTGAAGATAAAATCCTGGTATATCATATTCTAAAGATGATTCTGAGTGGTAAAAATCACTCCACCTCGAACACAGCCAAGAGTTCACCACCACAGATTTAATGGTATATCTTTTCCCCATCTTTCCCATCTTCTACTAACTGTAACCCTTCCACAACCCTTTTTGCTGAACACAGTAGACTGTATCTAACAATATAAATTTCTCCAACGCTCATAGGCTTACCTATACTGTGGTAACAGTTTGGACTCACAACTCTGAATCTCTGTAAAAAGAGTAAACTAAATGTATATCAAAATGAAAAATGCAAACTGAGATAACCTGTATTAACATGATTTAGTTCTTCCATGAAAACTTTACCCAGGAAAGATAAAGACTATAAACCACTAAATATTGTTTGCTTCAAGATATTAATGAAAATCAATTTATCTGATTCAGTAGTTTGATTTCTTGGACAAAGAGCTCACCTGTCAAATAATAGTTAATCAATTCTTCCCATAAGATACTCACCTTATTCTGTCCACCAATACTAAACTACCATATCACAAATTTTACCCAATCTCTATCCTCCTTCCATCATGAAATACCTTAGACCCCAACATCCTGTGAACATGCACTCTCCCTTGGGAGGTACAGCTGATACCCTGGCAAGGTGGTGGTCTACCTCACTGCAGTGAGTTCTAATAAATATATTTGGCTTTGCTGTATTAAATGACTGTTTTGTGATATTTGAGGTAGTTCAGCAAAAGAGAATGTCAACGGTGCCCTACACGTTCAGAGAAACTTCTCTAATAACAAACTATAGAAATGATCTCTGAAAGTTAGTCTTAATAACTCTTCTTTTTGTTTCCAAAATGTGCAGTCAGTATATCCTTAAAATCATTCAGTTTAATTTTATTGCCCATTGTGCTGGAAGCATTTCCTCTCCAGAGGAGCCTCCAGTTTTTGCTTTAATCCCTGGCAGTTTCTCTGCTGTGCAACCCTTATTCTGGAACTTAACGCCATTCCTCAGTTATCACCACTGATTTCTGAATCTCATGTTTTCCTTCTTCATGGTTTACATCCTCATTTTGCTGGAATACATACTTTAGTATCTTCCTTGGAAACAATGTGGGGGAAGTAAATTTTCTGAACTCTTATCTGAAGGAGCTCTGTCACCCAGGCTGGAGTGAGTGGCATGATCTCCGCTCACTGCAACTCCTACCTCCTGGGCTCAAGTGATCCTCCCACCACAGCCTCCCAAGTAGCTGGGATTACAGGCATGCACCACCACACCTGCCTAACTTTTGCATTTTTAGTAGAGACAGAGTTTCACTACGTTGGTCAGGCTGGTCTTGAACTCCTGACCTCATAAGATCTGCCTGCCTTGGCCTCCCAGAATGCTGGGATTACAGATGTGAGCCATTACACCCGGCCTCAAGTGATCCTTCTGCATTGACCTCCCAAAGCGCGGGGAGTACAGGCATGAACCACCATGCCTGGCCCTTAAATCTATTACATTTTTAATTTTAGTGATCATATTTTTAGTTTCCAAAAGTTCTTTCTTGTTCTTGGATTTTTTTTTTTTTTTTTCACAGCACCTTGTTTTATAGATAGAATATTCTTCTTGGATGTATCTGGAGCTACTAATCAGTGTTTTCTTCCAAATTCTCTCTGTATCCTGATTTGTATGTTTCTTCCAGCCTGGGTTGTTCTGTTTCTGTTTATGCATGTATTTGTTTATTTGTTGCTGGTTTTCCTCACACATTGGGCGACCTTGGTTGTGGGCGTGGATTTCCCCGGCTGCCATGCGTTTAGGTCTGTCTCCCTGCTGGGGCCGTACCTTGATGAGAAGTTTGTGAGTGCTGTTGATTCTTGAGCAGGGCTTCATTTGGGGTGCAAACGTCCAGCCCTGGTTTTCCTCGGTGTATTCAGATCTTGTAGAGAAGCATTCCGAGGCTTTCTTTCCTTCTCTTTTCCTCTGTGTTATGTTCTCCATTTTCTGTTCTATGTTCCAGACATTTATGTGAACCTTTCATCTACTTAGGGTCCCCTCCCAACTTCTCTTTACTTACAGGAATTTATCCACTTTCCCCTTTACTATGCTTTCTTTTTTTTTGAGATGGAGTCTTGCTCTGTCACCCAGACTAGAGTGCAGTGGCGCCATCTCGGCTCACTGCAAGCTCCGCCTCCCGGGTTCACACCATTCTCCTGCCTCAGCCTCCCTAGTAGGCAGAACTACAGGTGCCCATCACTATGCCCAGCTAATTTTTTTGTATTTTTGGTAGAGACGGGATTTCACCATGTTAGCCAGAATGGTCTCGATCTCCTGACCTCGTGATCCGCCCGTCTTGGCCGCCCAAAGTGCTGGGATTACAGGCGTGATTTACTATGCTTTTAATAGGATCTTGGAGAGGAGGGAATGAGAGGAAAGAAAATGTGCCTAACATGCCGTTAAAAAACAACAACAACAACAAAAAAAACCTTAGAAGTTAGTTTTCACATGTTTCAAAATGATCATTGTAGAAAAGTGAGAAAATATAAACAGTCAAATAAAAATGACCTGTTCTTTTATCACCCAGAAATTACATTGTTAATGTTTTAAAACATGTTCTAGTTCCTTTTTCTATATATTTTTATAACAATGGGATCATACCAGATGTGTTCTGTTTTCTAATATGCTTCTTAAAACTAAGCAAAAGCTTCTAAACATCTTTCCATGTCACAACATATCCCTTACAATATTCTGAGACCTAATATTTATTGAAAGCTATATCACTTATTTAGCCCATCCTCTATTTTTAGATGTTAGGTTGTTTCTAATTTCCACTATTCTAAACAAGCATTTATAAAAATGTTGGGCTAAATCTTCCCTCATAGCCTTGACTATCTACTTTGGGTAAAGTCCTCATAACGGAGTTGCTGGGTGACAGTATATGCACCCCCATCCACGGGCCAGCATTCAGGGTTCTCTCTGAAATACACTCCCCTACTTTCACTTTCTGGTTCCAAACTGTCACTTCACTGCCCTTCACTTGGATTCTGTGAAGCATTATGGCAGAGACATTGAGAGCATAATTTTCAGAGTCAGACAGACCAGGGTTGAATCTTAGCTTTGCCACTTATTAAATGTGTGACCTTAGACTGTTTTAATTAACCTCTTTGAGCACTTTTCTATAATATGAGGAAATAATTCTACTTTTCTGATGAGGTTGTTATGAGAATTAAACAGGATAAAAAAGTGCCTGTAAAGCACTTGACACAGGCCCAGGCAGGTTGAAAGTGTTCGCAAATCATGGTGTTGGATTCATTCCCGTCCCTAAGCCCGTTCGAATCCCTCTTTCAAGGCCACATTCAAGCTGCACCCCCTCTACGGGGCTTTCCTGACCAGGGCAGCCCATCACACTAAGTTGTTATGGCACTTGTGGGCTGGATCCTCATCCGATGTTCAGAACACCCTGTCTTGTTGTTTTCATGTATTTGTTTGTAAGGGAAGAGGCAACACCCCCACCTCACCATGCAGCACAGTGCTGTGGGTCCCTTATGGATTCATTCATTGTCATTAGTGTTCTTGCAGAAGAGAGGTGATGATGAAAAGGAGCTTGTGACTCCATGTCAGTGGCATCAGGATTGGTTTTTCTGGAGTTTATTTCAAACCCTTTGGTAGCTCAGGGGATTGGAGGATGGTACCTGACCCCAAGGACACAGGAAGCTCCCATGGAATCAGCGGGCAGCAGTGGCAGCGAAACCACTGAGCAGGAGGCTGCCAGACCTTTGTAACGCTGAGCCTCTCCAGGGCATTGTCCCAGCTCAGCACGCAGCGCAGGACCTCTGTGTGCCTTGCAAGCCGCCTTCCTCCCCCTGGTTGCTTTGCGCTGAGCGGTAGGATGCTTTTGGAGCCGGGAGGGCTTTCCTCCTGAGTCTCCTCCAACCCACAAAGGTCCCTTTCACGCCACAGGGATGCCTCCCTAGTTGCCAGGGGAGATGGAAAAGCAGCCTGTGCGCAGAGCTGCAGCTGGAGGGCTTGCTGTGGGACAGCTTCCAGGAGAGGGTCCGGGAGGAGAGGAAGGGGCAGCCCTGGGGAAGGTGATGCATGGAGAAGGCTGCTCACCCCATTCCCCATCTGGGTGTCTTTCAGGAGTCATGGCCGGTTTCAACATGGGGGGCGACCTCAGGGAGCCTGCCGCCAGCATCCCCCTGGGCTCCCTGGCAGCTGTTGGCATCTCGTAAGTTCCCCTCATGGCAATCAGTCCGAGCTGGAGAGTGGGAGAGAGAACCCCAGGCAGAAGAGGGATTGCCCCTTTTGTTCTGAGAGTGCCCCGACTGTGACCAATCTATTTCGTATTCCGATCCTTCTTTTAACACTCGGTGGGCTGGAAAATTCACGTCTGGTGGGTTCAGACACTGCCCTTTCATGCACCCTGCCTGGGAATGCTGCCGAGGAGGAGTGTCAGGACCCAGATCACAGATCAAATCCTTTCTTTCCTTTCCTCGGCCTCCCGCCCCCGTCCCTCCTCAACCTCCATTTTGAACTTGGGGACTTTTTTAACCACCAAGTTTCCAAGATCCCTGAAGGGAGCATAAAGATGAAGAGTTTTGCAGTCAGACAAATTCTGGTTTGGCTCTCAGCTCTGCCGTTGATTGGCTGCGTGACTCTGGATAATTTACTGAGTTCTCTGAGCCTCCATTTCCTTTCCTGTGAAATGGGGATGATGACAGTATATGTGCTTCATAGACTGTGGGGGAGAGAGTAGAAGGCACACAGTGGAAGCTCAGCACCCAGCTCTCCTTCTTCCCCCATTGAGCCTCCCCTCCTACTCCCCCAGGCCATCAGGCCTCTGGGGTTTTAGTTCACACTGTGCCACCCACACAAGCAGGCTGGGTGACTTTGGGTCTATTTCTGACTTTTTAGAATATTGTTTCTCTCTGTACCACAGGAAGAAGCTTCTCTGCCCTTCATTGGGTGGGTGTGAAGAGGCAATGAGATCAGAGACCAGAGACAATGACTTGAGAAGTTAAAAGGGCCTGTGTTATTGTAACCACAGTATTTAGAAAATATTAATGTATCTGTTTCACAAACACTGAATTTGCTCTTAGCTTATTGCAGTGACACCTTTGCTATCAGCCTGGAATACAGCATCAGGGTATTTTGTGCAAAACAAGGCAATACCATTGGGAAGAAAATGAAGACAACAGAGATAGAATTGAGTGTTGGGAAGGAAATAAAAGAAAGAGGCTTCTGTATGAGGACCCTGTCTTGTTTCTGGTCCCAGCTGGGAGGTTCCAGGATGAACCCTTGGCCCATCGTCTTACTACCCAGATGGGAGTGAGGAGACCACAGGAACCTGGGTCTTGTTCAAGGTTACAGGGCATCTTGGGGACAGAGCCAGGCCTCTGCTCTCTGCCTTTTGACTTTAGTTTCCCTCTTTATTATCTGACCTAAAGATAACAGACCAGCAGGACTTAGAGGCCTGAAGGATCATCAGCCTGTTCTTTTGCTGGAGGAGGCTGGGATGTGAGGCTGCGGGGCAGCCCTGGCCTGAATCCTGACAACCTAGAGGCAACTGGGCCTCCCGCTTCCCTACTCAGAATGCCTGTTGTGTAGTTTTCTTTTTTAATGTAAGAAGGAGAAAAAACAGTGCTCACTTCAGCAATACATATACTAAAATTAAAACAATACAGAGATTTGTGTGGCCCGTGCGCAAGGATGACATGCAAATTCATGAAGCATTCCATATTTTTATATACGTTTAAAAGTAAAAAAATAAACAAAACAATGGTACTCCTTTTTTGGTAAGAAATATGCCAGAAGAGAAATAGTACAAAAAGTGTCCTCCCAAGCCAGCTGGGGAAGCTTCATGACTGGCCTTTCTCTCATTCTGAGACAGGTTCCCTTTGGAAACAGAAGGTTGAGTTGGGGGACTGGATGGGGCTGGGTGAAGTGAGTGGGGGGCAGCTCTGTTCTGCTCTTGGGTTTTCAGGTGGTTTCTGTACATTGTCTTCGTTTTCCTCCTGGGCGCCATCTGCACGCGAGAGGCCCTTCGCTATGACTTCCTGATAGCGGAAAAGGTGAGTAAGGCTTGCGCTCCTCGAAGGGCTCAGTCTGCTGGAGTCATTTGTTTGTTTTCACCAACAAATGGCCACCTTCCCCTTGCAGTACTGTCTGGGAATCCATATAGTCGTTTAAAAATTTAATTAATTTATTTTTTGAGACAGGGTCTCACTTTGTTGCTCAGGCTGGTGTGCAGTGTTGCAATCTCAGCTCACTGTAGCCTCAACCTTCCAGGCGCAAGCAATTCTCCTGTCTCAGACTCCCAGGTAGCTGGGACTACAGGGGCATGCCATCATGCTGGGCTAATTTGTTTTTAATTTTTTGGTAGAGATGAGGTCTCACTGTGTTGCCCAGCCTGGTCATAAACATCTGGCCTCAAGTGATCCTCCCGCCTTGGCCTCCCAAAGTGCTGGGATTACAGGCTTGAGCCACCGTGCCCAGCCTCCCTATAGTCTCTAGCCCAGGAATGAAGTGTTGGGTTGTGATGGGGAAGAAAGATGGTGGAAAAGGTACAGGCTCTGCTTAGGGATTTCGAGAAACAGATAACGATGCCCAGAGAGATTCACAAACATCAGGGGCTAGATAATGGTGACATCTCTTCCTGTCAAAAATCAGGACAGAAACAGAAGAATTTGTTCACCCCTAATTCCCAGCTAAGCAAGTGCCTCACTTTTGGTAATAGCTTCACCTTGCATGATGAATAGAATGTGCTGTTCAGAAGTGGCAAGTGGAGAAGGAGGCTGGGAACAGACAGAGGTGGAGGGAGAGGGAGGAAGCCCAGCGCCAGGGTGAGGGCCAAGGCCCTCCTTGTCTCTGAGGTCCTTGACCCCTTTTGCTTTCCTGAGAATCTCAGACACTGCGGGTTGATTTGGCTGCAACATCTTTGTTTCTAGAGTCCGCACCCTGCCAGGAGAGGATTAATGAATTCCTGGCGTTCCTCCGTTAGCAGGCTGGAGGCCGTGTGACATCAAGGACATTTATTTGGCATCCTAGAATCCACATAAGATTTCCAGATATTTTTCTGGAAATCCCCAAAAACTCCTACCCTCCTTTAAGTTCTTGGAGAAAAAGTAGACCCTGAGATTCCCATCATTTTTCGGAGAAATGTAGTTGGTTAGGGAGTTTTTCTGTTAACTCCTGAGTATCGCTGCTTATATTTTATGTATTTTTAAATTTAACTTAATATTTTAACTTTTTAAAGACAGGGTCTCACTCTCTCACCCAGGCTAGAGTACAGTGACATGAACATGGCTCATTAGAGCATCAACTTCCAGGGCTCAAGTGATTCTCCCACCTCAGCCTCCCAAGTAGCCTGGACTACAGACATGCACCACTACACCTAGCTAATTTTTTTTTTCAATTTTTTTGTAGAGACAGGGTTTTACCATGTTGCCCAGGCTGGTCTCAAACTCCTGGCTTTAAGTGATCCTCCCACCTCAGCCTTCCAAAGTGCTGGGGTTACAGGCGTGAGCCCCTATGTTTGAGGATGGAGTACCATTTTCTCTTGGTGTGATGCTTTGCACAGCAGCCCTGCTGATCTTCGTGGAGGGCCAGTGCCTGGGGCAACCTGGGCCAGGAAACTCTGAATTTTCTTTTGAGAGATACGTTTGAGCTTGGTTTTCACATTAGCACAGGTTTCTTTTTAAGGCTTGTAGGCACCCATGCAAAGGTGATTATTTGTTTTCAAGAGTTTTGACCTTAGTATAAAAGCAGGTTTTTTGAAAGGCGGTGCAGTTCAGGTAGTGAGAGAACTGATACCCACCTTTCAGCACCCAAGGTCACAGACCCCCAGGCGGCAAGGTGTGCTCTCGAGGCAGGAGTCTATAGCCCTCCTTTGTATCTACATGCACGCTTCCGTCTGGAGTTTCACTCCCAAGAGCCTGTTCTCTAGCTGCGGAATGAAAAGCTTGGCTGCATGACAGGAATTGAAGGCCTGAGGGAGCAGCCTGGGTGAGGCTGGTTTAACCGGGGGAAATGCTTCCTGCTCGTGTGCAGCTTGCCAGTGGCTGGCCAGCTCTGCCTGCTTCTAAAGTTCCTTTCTCGTGCTTTCCTTCACAGAGGTCCTTCCACCCTTTAGAGACTCTGATCTGATTATCCCCTGGACCGTGGCTCCTCCTTCCTCTCCTTCCCCTGCTTTTCAAGGGAATGCTCAGAGTAGACATATGGGAGGGCAGGCAGCTTTGTATCTAAGGCCACAAACAGCACTAGAGTAAAAACAGCCTAGAGACAGCATCTGAGAGCCTTTGTGGGTGGAAATTCCACACCTAATAATAGGCACACGAACCGGGGGAGCCTCCTTTGGAATGCCGCCTATCCCGACAGTGAGCAGGTAGGCAAGCACTTAGCCAGCTGGGGGCACCTGCGGCACCAGGCCCAGCAATGACACTTGGGAATGTAATTATGCACACACTGGGATGAAAGGTGGAGATGTAGTTTTTGGACAGGACAAGAGACCATTCCCTGGAATAGGCCATTGTAAAGCCTATAAAGGAACAAAGCTACTGCTCTTGGTTCTCAGTAGAAATGGGCAGGTGCAGCAAGTCAGTGAGCCGTGATGGAACCGACCCTGATGACTTCAAAATAGCAGCACCTGGGTCTTCTGGTTCCCACTACCCACTCCCTAAAGGGGACCACACAGGAGTTTCCTCCCATACCTTTTGTGCTTTCCTGCTCCCTGGTGTCGCTCCTTGGGACTGACTCCGCTGCCGCTGCAGGAGCAGGTACCATGCTCAGGCGGTAGATTGGGCCACAGATGTTTTTACTGGCAGTGGCTGGAGAAGGGGAGGGTGCAACCTACACTGGTTGGGAGGTGCAAGTGCAGAGTCTCTTTACCTTGGTCACTTGACACAACCTGCCACCCTGATAACCTATTCACCTCAGCTTCTTGTCTTACCTGTGGCTTCAGTTCTGAGCCAGCGCATCTCTGAGCTTTCCTGGGCCTGAAGAAAGGCCTCTTCTGTATGTGTGCCCCGTGCATCACCTCTGGACACTGAGACAGGGCGGGTCTCTGACCTACTCTCCTTGGCGCTCGTTCACACGCTGCTCCCCAACGCACTCCTCTCTCTCTCGGGGGCTTTCTGCCAGAACAATTATCTTCAATGGCTGCAGGCTGCCCTGGATTCCTTTCTACTGATTTGCAGCTGGTCAGTTAATCTGTTTCTGTCTGGGTTTCCTACAGCTTCTCTGATCTATTTCTAATTATTTGGCTTCTCAACTCAGTTTCTCTAAGAAGCGTCTTTTTACTTTTTCTTTTTTTTTTGAGACGGAGTTTCGCTCTTGTTGACCAAGTTGGAGTGCAATGGCATGATCTCAGCTCACTGCAACCTCCACCTCCCGGGTTCAAGCGATTCTCTGTCCTCAGCCCCCCCAAGTAGCTGGGATTACAGGCACATGCCACCATGCCTGGTTAATTTTTTGTATTTTTAGTAGAAACGGAGTTTCACCATGTTAGCCAGGCTGGTCTCGAACTCCTGACCTCAGGTGATCCGCCTGCCTCAGCCTCCCAAAGTGCTGGGATTACAGGGGTGAGCCACTGTGCCTGGCCACATCTTTTTACTTTTTATCCCAACCACAGAGGAATTTTCTCCCAGCTCTCAGGTGTATGTGCATTCTTAAAAGTCTTGTATACAGTGGTGGCTCTGAGATAGCCCATGAAAGCACGTAGTAGGTGCTAATTATAATACATTTTACCTGGCACATAGCAGGTGCTAATTAAATTTTAACTCCCTTCCACACTCCTTATGGGCATACCCTTACAGATCAAAACATTTATTTTAGGAACACATTTTCTCCCCACAAATTCACCATATTTAATAGGAAAAGCCAAAATAGTCAATCTCAGTATTATTTAGTTAGAAAAGGAATTGTATAAACCACAGTGTTAGTTGGGGTGAAATAGATTAAATGTTTCAAGATAAACTTGTATACAGTCCAGGAAACAGATGTTTATTACAAATAAAAAAGATCAAATATCTTAGGAGTCCTGGGGCTTGCTAACTAGCAAAATAAGAGCAATCTAAGAAGGAAAAATATCCCAAAAGTATTGTTGTTAAGACTAGGGAATCTGGCCAGCTCATGCCTGTAATCCCAGCACTTTGGGAGGCCGTGGTGGGCAGATCACTTGAGGTCAGGAGTTCAAGACCAGCCTGGCCAACACAGTGAAACCCCATCTCTACCAAAAAATACAAAAATAAGCCAGGCATGGTGGTGCACGCCTGTAGTCCTAGCTACTCAAGAGGCTGAGGCAAGAGAATCGCTAGAACCCGGGAAGTGGAGGTTGTAGTGAGCCAAGATCGTGTCACTGAACACCAGCCTGGGCAATAGTACAAGACTCTGTTTAAAAAAAAACAAAAAGCCTAAAAAACTGGGTAATCCCACAGAGCAAACTCTGATTCCTGGATTTAATAGTCATGGTTTCACATATTCATGAGGGACCTTGGAAGCTCATGACACAAGCTGTACAGGGAAGATGGGGATGGGACAGCGCTGGTGACTAGGGAGTGAGTCCTAGTGGGCCACTCAGCACCTGGGAGTGGGTCAGCCTGAGTGTCCTCTGCCCTCCATCGTGGACACAGTCCTGCCTCTCAGGAAGGGAAGGAGACTAGGTCTCATTATGGAAAATGGCTCTCAAGTGAGAGGTAAAACTGGACTGAAAGTTGAGATGTTGATCAGTTCGTGGAGCGTGGAGAGTGCTAGGAAAGTCATGACTGTGGAAATGAGATGTGGGAGGAAAAAACCAAAGCGTTGTTGAGACACGGCCTTATTAATACACTTGGGATTGTAAAGGTTTTTAGGGTGCACTCCTCAGTGATGTCAGGGGGCCACCGGAATTAGATGAGACAGAATGAACCCCTTGCAAATGACTTTAAATCCTGTCCTTCAAGAGAAGAGAGCAGCCAATGAATGAGTGGAGTCCCTCAATGACCGAAGCGCAAGTGGGAGCTGGGAGAAAATACTAAGAGCAGAGAGATGGAAGTAATTATTTTAATCAGTAGTTACTGAAAAGAGAAATCAGGGTAGTTCGCACCCCATGTAATATTTTGGAAAGAGCTTTGAGGGGGATGACTCAAACAGGTGTATGCCGGAAAAGAATCACTTTTTATTTAAAAAGAACTGTTGACACACCTCTACACAAATAAATCCTCACTTCCACCTCCACTGGCACATTTAGCAAATTTTCAGTCTGATACGAATAGAGAAAGCAATTAGGTTCTTTTAGGGCTGGGAGCAGAGCTGTGTGGTTCACTGTTGTGTCTATAAGCCTTGCTCTGCCTAGCACTGTGCCAGGAACATAACCTGTCCTTGGGAAATGCTTCCTAAATGGGTGGATGGATGGATGACAAATGAAAGAAGGAGATAGGATTTAGGCAGGAGAGATGGAATGAAGTTTTTATAATTTGTCTAGATGTGGGGACCAACATTTCATATATTATTCAGAAAACAGACTGAATAATATTTTTATATTTTTTAAAAGTGGTAAGTGAACAGATCATTCTACACGATCGATAAACTGGACATAAACAAGTTGCTTTACTTGGCCCTGTCTGACCCCAGCTCTTAGGGCTCTGGAGGAATCCCAGGGTGTGTCTGTGGGAAGGCTGGCCAAAGACGGAAGCCACCATATCGTGTACTCATGGAGCCAGAGGCTCAACCTAGTTCCTGAAGTCAGTCCAACTCTAGGAGTATGACAGGCTGGAGCATTCCCACTCATTCCTGCTCTGAGTAAATAGACAGGCTTTAAATGAAAAAGAGTTGTAAAAATTCAAATATACATAACCTTTTAGGTAAGAAGCAGTGAAATTTCTGCAAAGAGATGCCACGCCTGACTCTCCCAAAGAATTTTTTGAGGGGAGAATGCAATGGCTACAATGTGTTGTGTCCAGGGGTTCGCCACATCGGCTGCATATTAGAATCACCTGGGGCCGGGGGGCTTTCTTAACATCAACCACGTCTGTGTCTCACTCTACACTAATTAAATCAGAATCTCTGGGTGATTCTTATGTTTAGCCAGTGTGGGGAATTATTGACTTAACTTTTCAAAAGGCTCTTTCTTGATAAAATTTCATCATAGAATCTGTTTTTTTAAAAACCAGTCAACATAGGATGCATTTGGTAGAGAAGACAGAAATAAAGGTTATAGATGAATGATCACATCTCAGAATGGATTGAGGATTGATAATGGACCCAGCTTATCTAACAGTTTTGTAAGGCACCTAGGGCTCGATGACAGCAAAGTAATGAAGCTGCATGAATTCAGCTGCTGAGCTCTGCTTGCCTGATTCTGCATGAGCTGCTGGGGGAAGGGGGCCAGGATTCATGATACAGCTCTACCCGTGAGGCGCTCAGGGTGCTGGCAGGATAAGCCATGAGCATAACTATCCCACAGGATGGAAAGTAACAAAATGCCATCAGATCACACAAAGTGATGGAAACACTAGATGACATTGATTTTCTGTAGTAATAAAACGGTGAGTAGGGTGGGTAGGACAAACCCAAGAAACCTGTGACATTGAAAAAAGAGACAGGCGAGATTCTTTGGGGATAAGAGAGATGATAAAGATAGGGGAAAGGAATCAACACTGAATTAAAGACAAGGTGGACTCCGTAGTGGACCTTAGTCTTGTTCATCAAGCCTCTGACCTTCCTGACCATTTGGCGGTTATTCTACCAATTGTCTTGAAGGGAGGGAGTACCCCTATTCTGCGTAATAGCAACCCAACGGACCAGACCTCTCTTGTCTGTCCCTTTGCAGCCCTGGTAGGGCACATGACCTACACTAGGCCATTGCGTGCTCCCATTGTAACCAACGAAGCAAAGATAAAGAGCTGGTGAGAATCCATCCACAGGGCAGCAGGGGTGCAGCAGCATCCTGGCCAAGCTGTTCCTGGGGAAGAGGCTGGGTATGCCTCCAGGCTTGGTCCTGCCCTTTTCTGAGCCTCATCCTTTAGCCTCCTGATGATTCTACAAACTGCCAGTGTCCCACAAATATATTCTTTTTTTAAGAAAAGTATTTTTTTCCCAATCAACTGTCCTGACTGATTCATCAGTCAGTCAAATTATTCCAGTGATAATTTATGAGCCAGGAAAGAAGTCTAGCCAGTGGCTTGTGTTCAGTGTAGCTTGATGACACGAATCCGGTGCTTTGCTGACATAAGGAAGTAAAAAATGGGGCAAGGAGAGCCTTCATCAAGAAGGGTGTAAGTGACAAAGCTGAATATTAACTCTAACCTATCTGTAAGCATTGGACACATGAGTACTCGGAATGTACAGTTCTGGCCACTGTGCCTAAAGTAAAGTAGAATGGAGAGGGCACCTCAAATAAGAAAACAAAGGTGCTTCCCTATGGGTACAGATGAGGTCTGGCCCAGGAGGGTGAATTAATGAGTGAGAGCTTGGGACCTGGCTGCACATGGCAAGCAGTCATGCAGCCACCCAACCCCTTAGCACTTTTAGCACTGGGTTAGCTAGTAACATCTTAGACCCTGATCTTTTGTAAGTTGACACCAAGAAGAACAGCTGTGCCCTCTTATTCTATCTATTGTTGCCTTGTGGGTCATGGATCTCATTCATTCATTCGGCATTTATATTTCTGTGTTGGGCACCAATAATTCTAGGGTGAACAAGACAGAAGACCTGCTTAAATGAAGCCTCCAGATTAGTGGAGGGGTCACCATGATAGGTGCTGTCCTAACGTCATGCTGGGGATGCTATGGAGCACTGAGAAGCGACTACTATAGTCAGGGGAAGAGGGGATGGCCTCACAATGGAGGTGAGGTTGGTGCTGAGTTTTGTAGCACAATTAGGAGTTTAACAGACAATGAGTAGATTAGGGGGTGTGGACAGAGGCTTCCTACAGACAGAAAAATCATGCTGATCAGACTCTCAGTGTGCCAGGTGTGGAGCTAAAGAGGTCACAGACCATTAAGAGCCTTATATGTCAAGACAGGGGGAGCCTTTGATATGTCTGCAACAGAGACATTGTGATTAGATTTGAGTTTAGAGAGGTCACTCCCGCAGAGGCTTAGGGGATGATTCAGAGTGAATCATCTGAATGGTTTAAACTCATCTTTAAGGGTGAGCTTAAAGGCAAGAGGCCAATGAGCATTATAGTTGGCCAGTTTGTTCTCAAAGTGTGGTCTCTGGGAACCTGTGGGGAATCCGAATTTCTAGGCCCCACCCCAAGCCTACTGAACCAGAAACTCTGAGGAGGGGGCCCAGAAATCTGTCTTTAGCAAGCACTGCTGCTGAGTCTGGCAGACGCTTCATTTGAGGACCGCTGTGCAGTCCATATGAAATGTAGTGGCGGATTCAGCTGAAACCATGGAATGAATGGGGGTGAGGCTGGGGATGTAGAAACTGTATCCCAGAGATCAGATCCAGAGGACTCAGTGGATGATTGCATGGGTGCAGGTGGGTGGGTGCTGGGGGAGTAGAAAGGCACAGGAGCAGGTTCTGGCACTGGCGAATGAAACCACTTCTCACACAGGTGTCCCTCGTGGGCTTCCTGTTCCTTTTGGGCTTATACATCTCGTCCCTGGCTTCCTGTATGGGAGGACTTTATGGAGCTCCCCGCATCCTGCAGTGCATTGCCCAGGAGAAAGTGATCCCTGCACTTGCCTGTCTGGGACAAGGGGTGAGTAATCCTCTTTTTTGTTTGTTTGTTTTTTGAAACATGTTTTGCTGCTAACCTGATTGTTGGCCCATCAGTTGGTTAAGCTTTTCTGATCAGAGCCTCTGGTCAATTTCTTTGGAGGTGACACAGAAAATAATGCAGAGGTCGTTTCTTTCAGCCGTGTCCTCCGGCTGGCTTAGATTAGGGCTAAGTAGATGAAGCATGTTAAATGTCACAGCCACCCAGCCCCTTAGCACTTTTAGCACTGGGTTAGTTAACCAGTCCTAGTAACATCTTGGACCCTGAGCAGCACGAAAATGCAGTGCCCCATCCTTTAATAAAAATGAATTCAGGATCCTCCAGGTTTAGCATAGAAGAAAGCATGTTTTGGTCAGGAGGCGAGCTGGTCCTTGAAGCTCTAACTCTGCCCTCAAGGCTCACCTGCCCCTTGGGGGTTGCTGTTTGATGATTTCCCACACCTCTGGCCTCTATACTTCCTGTTAACCATCAAGAACCAAACCTTAACTGATACCTAAAGGACAGCTCAGTTGAGTTAAGGCTGGGATGATTAAAATAGACATTCTAAAGCCCAGGGGAGGACCAAAGAGACATAAACAGAGAATCCCACTTCCCAATAATATGGTTTGCAAGCTATAGTTCATTTTTGTCTTGTTGAGGTACCACAGAGGGCCTCCACACCTGCTTCCAATTTTCACCCTCCCCCTGGTTTAGGGAACACATCGTTGCAACTTATCCTTGATTTCTTCCTTTACCTTCCTTCAAAAATGCAGTTTGGTTTTGAACATTGTTCATTTGAGATCCTATTAGACATCCACTGGGAATGTTGTGTAGGCAGTTGGATATGTAAGCCTGGGTTTCAGGGGGAATGTTTTAGGCTGGAGATTCAAATTTGGAAGTTGTCAATATAATGCCGGTATTCAAAGCGTGAGTCTGGTTGAGCTCACCAAGGGAGGGAGTACAGACCGAGAAGAGGTCTGAGGATGGAGCCTGGGGCTGCTTTAAATGTGGAGTTCAGAGATGTGAAAAGCCAGCCATGGAAACCAAGAAGGAGCAGCCAGTGAAGAGGGAGGTCAGTCAGGAGAAGTGAGGTGAAGAAAGTGTTTCGAAGAGGAGGGCGTAGCCAGCTGGGTCAAAGAAGACAGGGACTGAGAAGTGACTGTTGCTTTTGGCTCAAGAACTATGTCAGTGACTGTGATGAAGAGCTCCCGGGAGTGGCAGCTAGCACCTGTTTTCCATTCCTGTCCGCCTGAAGGTCACCATACCCACCTTCATTAATAACAGGTGTGTGTAATGTGTGTGCGTGAGCATTTGCTGATGTTTAGGGTCAGAATTCCCCTCCTCCAGCCACCAGTGATTCTGCTGTGTCTTCCGGAATCTTCCTCTCCCTGGGAAGAATCAACTTTGCATCTCTTTGATTTTCTATGCTAGTATCAAAACCCAGTGAAAGACAAAAGGAGAAAATAGTTGGGAAGCCAAAGTTCTATAATAATGCCACATGTTCATAGTTATTCATACAGGCTGGGCGCGTTGGCTCACACCTGTAATCCCAACACTTTGGGAGGCCGAGCTGGGCAGATTGCTTGAGCCCAGGAGTTTGTGACTGGCCTGGGCAATATAGCAAAACCATGTCTCTACAAAAAGCACAAAAATTAGCCATGCATGGTGGTGTGCACCTGTAGTCCCAGCTATTCAAGATGCTGAGGTGGGAGGATGGCTTAAGCCCAGGAGGTGGAGGTTGCAATGAGCTGACATCACACCACTGCAGTCCAGCCTGGGCAACAAAGCCAGACCCTGTCTCAAAAAATACAGTTACTAATGCAACTAATATCTGTCTATGTGAAGCATTTCACATGCATGAACTCTGATCTCACAATAATCCCATGACTAGGATACTATTATCTCAAGTTTATAGATGAACAATCACATGGGGAGAAGTGGCTGAGTCATTATGAATTGTGTTTCTAGCCTATAACTTCTGAAATCTCTGAAGCATTCTATCTGAAATTTTATGGTCCTGCATGTTATTTTTGTTGCTGCAGAAGGGGCCAAACAAAACACCTGTGGCTGCCATCTGCCTGACCAGCTTGGTGACCATGGCCTTTGTCCTTGTGGGTCAAGTGAACGTTCTGGCCCCCATCGTCACCATCAACTTCATGCTGACATACGTCGCAGTGGACTACTCTTACTTCTCCCTGTCCATGTGTTCCTGCAGCCTGCCCCCGGTGCCTGAGCCAGTGCTCAGGGAGGGCCCGGAAGGCCTCCACTGCTCTGAGCACCTGCTCTTAGAGAAACCTCCCAGCTACGGCTCTGAGGGACCTGCCCAAAGAGTCTTGGAGGGCACGCTGCTGGAATTCACCAAGGACATGGATCAGTTCCTCCAGCTAACCAGAAAGCTTGAGAGGAGCCGGCCCAGGCAAGGAGAGGGTAACAGGACCCCAGAAAGTCAGAAGAGGAAAAGCAAGGAGGCCACCAAGCAGACCCTACAAGATAGCTTCCTCTTGGACCTCAAATCCCCTCCTTTCCCTGTCGAGATACCTGACAGGTTGCCCGCTGCCTCCTGGGAGGGGCAGGAGTCCTGCTGGAACAAGCAGACTTCCAAGAGCGAAGAGACTCAGCTTGGGGGATCATATGGAGAGCAACTGGTTCCTGACCTGTGCAACCAATCTGAGTCCAGTGGAGAAGGTGAGTGCTCTGGCGTCACACTGGGGCCTCTTATTTGGGGATGACCACTGATTATCCTATCTACCCAGTTATTGTGAACCAGTTATAGCTGGGTTTAAAATCCTTGCTCATTTTGTGCAATATTTATTTTAAAACATTGTAGTCAGGTATCAGCTGAATTATTTGTAATTCTACTCTGTTGTAGATGGTTGATTTTAAACAGAGATTTCTATCTACTTCTGTATATTAGACCTGGGAGCCACAGCTAGTAATTGGGTATCAATTTCTTTTCACTCAAAAATGAACTGAAGTATAAAGCCAGTGTGAGTAAAATCAGTCTCTCCTTACAAGAGAAGTGGAAATGTGTTGTGATAAACTACCTGTCAAGGACGCAATATGTTTTCTTTGTGGAAGATAGACCTCCCAAACCAGGCAAGAGGCGATGGAAAGAAGGTGGCTCAAACTTTGTTTTCTCAAATCTATAAACACAGAGACACAGAGAGAGACACTCACAGGGAGGCTTATAGGGCATGAGCAATTCTGAAAGTGAGAACTTGTATTTTCAAGGACCTACCATATTCTAGGTACTTTACGTCTATTACTTCATGTAATATAATATATATTAGCATTTTCCATTTTACAAATGAAGACCTTGTATCCCCATGAGGTCACAGAGAAGACCCTGAGCTGATTCTTTGCACAGCTGGACATCACCCTGCATTGTATTGTCTGTATTTGAGGCCCATGTACTTTCCTCTACATTATGCTCTCCCTGGAACTATAT